GGATCTTCGCATAAGGTCAGTTTTGAAGCCCATAGGAATGCATTAAACGCGTTTTAATGCATTTCTATGGGCTTTTTAAAATCGCTTAGCGACAAAATCCCTTAGCGATGTTTTTTCCTGCACGGATTAACTTCACTAAGCGAGGCACCACTGTAACTGTTTTGATAACATAGAAAAGCCCTGCTAGATCTGAATATGTACTTCAGCATTCTGCCTTTAGCAGTGGCTATCTGGATGCCATTTAGAAAGTCATAAGCAAAATCTTGTTTGGCATAGTTAATAGGTTTAGGCCACTGATCTAGCATATTATCAGTGTGGCAATTGATCCCCTCAATCTGGGCCTAGACAGCGAGCATAGTTTTAGAAATGGCTGTAAGACTTTTATTCAGGCATTACTTGGACAATTGGTCAACAAAACTTTACAGGTGATCAGTGCTGAGCCCATGTTCCTCCCAGCCCCTCATACTGTTGAGGTATATCATCTGTAGCAAGGATGCTTTCCTGAGTCCGTGAAGCTTGCTGAAAGCCACACTGGTTGGCTCTTTTGGAATTCACAGTGGGGACCTGAATTTCCCATCTCTGACTCCACAGCCAGATACTTAACTCACTGAGCTATCCAGCCATCTTAAGAGTTATGACCTTAGTACTATTTCCTTGGACTCCCCATCCCCCAAATGAACCATGAAGAAAGCAAGAAGAGGTCATTGGAGATCTTGAACGATATAACTCTTAACTGGACTTCCGAAGTATCCATCTACAGTGCAAGGGGATTTATGGCAGTACTTTGGATTTTATAAAGGGTACCCTAATTTACAAGCAGCCAGAGTTCTGAACTTGCAAAGAGCATTTTGAAATGACACAATCAATTAACTTTTAGCATCAGTCATCTTTCTCTTTTATATCAGTCCTAACTCAAGGTGTATTTGAAGAATGAAAATATATGTCCCCTTTTGAGATCACGACTCCACAGCCAGATCACTATTAAAACACTATTGGCACTATTAAAACAAAAGCAACAGCACTGGATGAGGAAGAGGTTGTATTTTAGAACCTAAGGCTTGTTAGAATGTCTTTCATCAAAGCCAGTGGTTCTTAACCTTGGGTTACTCAGGTGTTTTTGGACTGCAACTCCCAGAAGCCATCACCACCAGCTGTGCTGGCTGGGGTTTCTGGGAGTTGCAGTTCAAAAACACTTGAGTAACCCAAGGTTAAGAACCACTGATCAAAGCAATTTAGGAAAAGCCAAACTCAGAAACTTTTTCTTCTTTAATTTGCCTGGTCATAACACTATTCTCTCTCTCAGGATTCAGATTCCGTGGTCTCTGGCCATTGCCAGAGGAAAAGTGAAGTAATACCCCCCATGCCAGTTCGCAGAAAAGGGAAGATCATTTTCATGCTTTTTCCTGATGGCTCCATCTCCATCTCCCAGATTTATCAGTGGGTTGGGCATGTCATTCCTTCATTGAAAACATTTTTGCCCCACCTAAAAAGAATCCAAGGCAGCCTGTCTCATTAAAAAGAAACAATATTAAAAGCTGAAAGCAAAAAAATTAAACAGACATTTTAAAAATAGTAGATAAAAGCATTATTTAAACAGATAAACCTATTCTATTCTTCTACTGTTTGGTTATGCTGTGTCTGGCTGCCAAAAGTAGAACTATAATCAACTCTTTATAAGGATGTTTATCATTGCTGCCCAGAAAGAGATGCAGCAGAACCAACAATAGATATAGATGGCATATCTGGTTAGTAATATTTCCATTTTCCTTACAGATCAAGTCTAGTATTAAGCTGGCAGAGCCACAACATATGGGAAGAGGAACCCAGGCTAAAATTTCTGTTTCCACCTGACCCAACTTTCTAGTCCTCCACACTCCCCTTTATGCACCAGCTGAGGCCAAAAAACCATAGGAATAGTTAACCTTATTTCTGAATGGTCTTATTTTGCATTCTAATGTGGTCATGCAGGTTTATTCTTAAGGACTATGGTACATTCTTTTTTCAATGACTATACAGAAATCTGATTCAAAAATCAAAGTAAGATTCTACCACTTGGTTTGAAAACAACACCGTTACTGAGATGAATGAATTGTAAAAAATGGATTCTTTGTCTCCTTTCCCCACCTTCCAAGCTTTTGCTGCTCCAGTCCTGTGAGCCAACTGAATCTCCAATTGCAAACATATCTAGTCAGGTATAGAAAGAAGATATGTATATCTCTTTGAGACTGGGAACTTTTATTTGGTTTTGCTTGATTTCTCCCATGGTGTAAATCCAAGAGTGCATTCATGTACTCAGTCTGAAATATGGCTCACATGCATTTATTCATATTCTCCAGTCTGGTAGTTTACTTGGCATGGACAGAGATGTCATTTATCTGGAACCTAATGCTGTCTGAAGATGTTCCACTCTTGACTGGAAAGTAGGCTTCATTCATTTTTGCCATCTTTTGCAACACTTCCTGAGTTTGGAAGATTTGCCTTTTAAAAATATTCTTGCCAGGAGATATTAGTAACATTTGTTGACTGCACAGTAAGGAACTTTATTAAACACTTCATTC